GAAGAAAAAGATAAAACTTGGAACAAAGAACAGATGGGATAGATGGAAAATGAATAAGATTCATTTAAATCCAATCATACAAATAATCGCATTAAATGTAAATGATATAAATATCTTGATTAAAAGGCAGAGAATATCAGATTGGAAACAAAATCAATACCCAAATATATGCTGCCTAGAAGAAACACACTAAATATAACAACAGAAAGGTTAAAAGGATGGAAAAAATATACCATGCTAAAACTAATCAAAAGAACGCTGGTGTTATATTAATACAAACAAAGTAGGTTTCACAATAGATAAAGAAGGTCATGTTAAAAATGATAAAGAGGTAAATTAATTAATCCTCAACATTTATACACCTAATATCACAGTGCTAAAATACATGAAGCAAAAATTGATAGAACTAAAAGGAGAAAGAGACAATAAATAATTATAGTCCTCCTTCCCCTACCCCCTCCTTCTTCCTTTGTCAAAAAGCTATTAAGTAGATCCCTAGGAGGTGGGCAGTCAGCCTGAGTGTGGAAGGCAGGCCCAAGGGGACTGGAAAATTGGTTATTACAGGAGATTGAAGTAATGGGAGCTTGTTTTCTCCCTGTCAGAGAGGGGAGACACAAACTTGGAACAGGAGAGAGCGATAGAATGAACCCTGTTGAATTGGAATTGAAGCTATCGGTGTGAACTCATGGCTTTCTTAGTTCTTACAAGCACATGCCAAACACCGAGAGGATGTAAACAGGAGTGCAACAATCCCAAACTTTGCAAGCCTGTTACTGCTAAAAGAAAGGGCAAATCTAAGGTTTTCCAAAAAAACAGCAATTAGTGGCAAATTAAATGGCAGGGTTAAAGCAGAAGAAAGATTATAAAAATTATATTGTTTGTTCCTGGTGCAGTGTGTTCAAGAAACTTTAGGCAGAGGGTCCCAAAAAAGACTAGCTTAGGATATCGACAAAGGAAAACAAAACCATCAGAAGAGCCCAAGGTATGGAGAGTTGGCACCGATCAATCCAGGATGAGTCTCTCTCCTCTAATTCCCATTTTCCAGTCAGCTCGGTGGTGTTAATTTGAAATATCTGCAGTTCGGCCCTTCACTTTACAGGGAAAGCTAATGCATTTAATAATAACAAAACGGAATATATCCCAGTGTTATAGAAGAGCCTCATTAGAATGAAAAGAAAAACTACAATGTTGAAGTCTTCAAAAGTCATAAAACTAGCTTATCAGTCACTGTGCTGAAATATCAATGCAGGGTGCCTAAAAACTTTCTTTTTATGCATTTACCCCCATCACCTTAAAAACTAATTTGAATAGTAAAGAAAAAGGTGGATAAAAAATTACTAGTGTGAACAGTCACAAAAACGGTGGCTAAGCAAAGATTGTTGCCTGTCATATATTTGTGGTGCCCAAATAACTGAAGCTTTAATACAACCTTAATTCTATTATATTAATACAAGCAACCTGGAACTGGGGAAAATTAAATCTCGCTCACAACTCCTAGGTGGCTATTCATATTACCCACATAGATGGACTTAAATGCTACTAATCGTCACTATGAATGTGCAAAACACACCACTGAGAGCGTGACTCAAAGCAAAATACAGTACAAATTTATTGACTCCGATCATTCTTAGTCGAGATTTAAGCAAAGTAAACAGACAATAGAATTGGATACAAATAAGCAATGGATTAACATTAGACAGGAGTCCTACTTTACCATAAATTTTCAGTCCAAAAGAGCTTATTCCTAAATAAAATTGAACAATGACTGACTTATTCTGCTAAGGCATACGATGACAAAATGTACACAGTAATAAAACCACTCGTTTTTCTTTTAACAATAAGCATATATTCAATGAAACATGTGAAATAATCTTGGATTAATGTCAAAAGAAATGATCACCTTTTGAAAATTAGTATTAACCAAGTATAACTTCATGGAAAATCTGGACAGCACTAACAAATGACTAAAAAGCACTGACTTCAATTATTTTAAAGATTTACAGTAAAATACTTTGGTTCCCAAAAGACTGTTTCTAAGAAGGAAATTTTAAAACACCTGACATAACTCATTTTCCCCCTCCAGAATCTAAACAGTGATTTCGTTCTCTCCCCAGTCACGTGGCAATTCTGTGAGCTGGAGCACACGCCGAGACTCACCGAAAGAGCGTATTACACATTGTGAAAACGTCAAACTTCTTAAAGTGCTAAAGCCACAAAGAACCACAAAAGAGGAAAACCTATTTTTAAAACTTAAAGTTTAGTAGTCAGTGTTAAAGAATACTTATTAAAGGATGTCAGCATTATTTAAATCAATAATGCAGTTCACAATTATTGCAACATCAGTGACACACCAGAAATCGACAGTTACTTGTGATATTCCAGTAATAGATGAAATTTATACAGAAATCTGTTAGGAATGACACCTAATTATTTTTTTTATTAAGAAAATTTACTTCCTAAAGTTCCAGCCTGCTTCTAAGTTGTATAGCACGCCTGTGAGAACCCATGTTGAGGGGGCAAAAGCCAAGTTGCGACCTGCTAATTCTCGCATCTCTCCCTCACCCTGACTGGCCAGGCGGCCACAGCTACAGCCCCCCCACACCTCTGGAAACGGCAGGTTTTACTCTTGTCTCACGGCGGCTACTCTCGTTAGCACCAGTGGGCCTACATGCGGGTTTAGATGCTCACTGATTAAGCGCTGGGGCATATTTTTACAAAGAGAAGGCTAGAAATGATCCATTCCAAACCAGAAAACCAAGAACATCAAATCTTCCCACAAATGCAAATAATATCACTGTTGAATCGTTAGTTGTATATTTTGGTAAAATTATAAATGCACACTAACTAGTTTTACAGGTGAATGTTCTGTTAATCTTGAAATACTACTATTAAAAATGCACAATATTTGTTACCTCCATTGCTTACTTTGATAAAAACACATTTTATGTTACTCCCTCCTTCTCCCACATAAACCAAATGATTCAATAACAACTTCTCAGATTAACAAAGAATATATTAAAACATTTTACATTCTTTCCACAACTGCATAAAAAAGCAGGCATCCTGAATACTTACAAGGAATAACGAGCTTTCTACATTTGCAAAAATTAATTACAATCAGAAAAGATATTTACAAGAATATCTTCACTCACTAAAGAGTTGTGACAATGAAAGACCAACTTGTTTTACACCAAATATTTGCCTACCGTCTGAGATAAACATTCTTTAAAAACTGCTTAACGAATAAAACAATGTCTTTCATTATTTTACTTCTTAACATTTAAAATAGTTACATGAGTGCAAGCATATTTTATTTTTTTTAACCATCAAAATAAACTCTTTCAGCCTAATGCTTTTAAGGTACAGTATAAAAAGTAATAGAAAAACCAGAACTGCATTATAAATGTTTTTGGTTCAAAATTTTATTTGAAATCTTATTTTCCTTGCCTAGACAAAAATGTGAGCTAACAAGACAAAACACTGTAATTTTTAAAATCTAACAGATATGCAGAGCCTATATTTAGATCAAAAATATTTTTTAATTAACAATATTATCTTAAAAAATCTTGAAAACGTAGCATAAAGATTCAAGTCATGGGATATTGAATTTACAATGCTAAGATACTTTGTATTGTGGAATTATCACAGATACTCTAACGGCCATGTAGGTGATGATTACTCAGGGAAACTGTCTTCTTTTAAAGAAGTGACAGCTTACCAAGATGCTCAGAGTAATGCCACACTATACAGGGAATGAGTCCAATGCACAACCATCCATCCTGATGTTTCACATAAGGTCATATGCTTCCGTTTTATCTTTAAAATGCATAGATTTCTTCAAGAAAACAAAGATGGCAAGAATCAGTAACTGTAACTTAATCTTATTTTCCTTTGTCCATTAAATCTAAGAACAAAAGAAGAAGTAACTACTAAAATATTTTGGGACTTTTGTTTTTCTCAAGTGAAAGAATAAAAGGCAAAATTTCGTATATAATTTCTATAATGTACAAAGTCAATTACTATTTTATAAAAATGCTTGTGTTTTAAGAAAAAGTAAGAATCTTTCCTACCACTGGTATGGAATGCTGGTAAGGAGATTGATGGGTACAGAATTCTTTTCTGCTAGAGCATAAATTTCTTAATCACAGTTGACTTTTCTTTAATCTGAAAGAACAGCTTGTAAAAAATAAATTAAAAACTCAGAGTCTTAATCTGTATTACTGCCTTAGAAAAGATTTTGTAGTTCTAATAATATTTCTTTTATATATCTGACCAAGGAAAAACCTTCCCTTTGGAAACACTGCATTGAACTTGGATAACACCTACTGAAAGGCTTTTAATTACAACTTACACATAACAGAAAAAAAGCCCAAAACCTATGGACCAAAATAAGCAGCTAAAACTAATTTTGGACCGTTAATAGTGCTTTCATCCACATTTATGAAATATTAAGCACTGACTTAGAGCAGAATGGCTTCACTAATGACATTTTAACCACTATAAACTCCAACAGATTCTAACAGAAATTGTCACAAAAGACAGAGAGGCAGGAAAATGTGTATAATGTATATATTGTTCTTGAAAAGCATGTTGAAACTGCAGTGTGGTATTTCCTCCTCTGCTCTGAAAGTAAATGGTAATTTAGAATTTTAGATCAGCTGTGCTGACTCCAAGTGTTTGGGATCTAGCTAAGTATTAATATATGTCCTACCTTATTTGTTATACTAATGTTAAATTCAAAATTAGTGCCATGGTAGGTGTTTAGTCCCAACTACACTCAGATTTTCAATTTGTGACAGCATAAAGCAGAGGCCAACTGCTGGTCTGAACTTGCACTGTGAGGCAGCACACAGAGCACTTTATTACGCACGGCCGTACGCAAGCTCTAGTAAACTGACTTCAGGGGACTTCCATAAATCATGTTTCCATCTCCCAAGCCGTCCTTAGAGTTTAACCATCATTCATTACATTAAGTGACCGAGAAAGAGAGCAAGTTTTTGTTTATAAAAATCTAAGTGTTACTATTGCTGATTTAAATTTCTCCACAATTTTCATACAAAAAAAGTTCTACGTGACCACAAAATACCAAATATTTATTTTTATCAAGTGTCAGGATAACTTATTAAAGTTGAGGTTTATCATTTTTTTATTGCTAAAGTATTCTATGATCTAAATCAATACTGCCAACTACTCCACTTCTTCCTGTTTTTGGACTTAAGAACATGGTTAAGATTTTACTACAACTTAGGTGTCTGAAATAATCAAAAGAAGAAATACTTTGATAGTATTCCACTAATTACAAATCAGTAAAAAAACCGAAAACCTCAATTAAATGATTATGCTGACACCATGGAATGAGGAGAAACCATGCAAACCGTGAAGATGAATCCGATCTCAACGTTAATGAGGTCAAACCACCTTGTTCCTTGAAGGTCCGGGACCACAATATTTTAAAAAGTTTATTTCTGAAGTTGAGTAAGGTCATTACTAATACCAGTTTATCTCAAACTTAAATTCAAGCATAACAATTTTCAACATTTATTATTTTTTAAAAATATTTTGTTTCTTATGACACATTTCACAATTCAGGTTGAAATCTGGAGACTGCCCCCCATTTCATAATAGGCTAAAAGTGTTGGTCTTTCAATTGTGTGTTTGTTCATGACTCCAAAGACTAAATGCAGTCTTGAATGTCCTGTGGCAAAGTTTACACATAAACTGTCTTTTAAATGTGATTGCTGAGAGGGGTGGGGCGTGGTAAAAAAGGGTATCTGATTCTTGGGGTACAAACAGTTTCTCTGTGGCCGGAGTTGCATTTTCAGACAAGCCGGTGGGGCTGTCGGGCTCCAGGGGCTGGATCTTGGGCAGCGGCGGCGGTGGCGGCAGAGGTGGCGGTGAGGGCGAGTTTGTGGGAACGGGGCACGCTTCGGACTCTTTATGTGCGGATTCCTCTGTAGCCTGAGACATGTGCGACTGGAAGTGACTCCAGAGCCGAAAGTTAGTGCGAAAAGCTTTGTTGCACACGTGACAAATGAACGGTTTCACGGAGCACAGAAGCTCCTGGTGCCGCTCCAGCTGCTTGTGTGCCGTGAACACCTTCCCGCACTTCTCGCAGGGCCACAGGCTGGCGTCCTTACTGGGCCCTGCTTCGCGGGGGGCTGCGCTGGCCTCGGGCGCCTCTTCCTCAGCCTCCTCCACGGGCTCCTCCTTGACCTGGATTTTCAGTTGCTTAGAAAGACTAAGGTCTTCAGGGAGACAAGAGGAATCCTCCGAATCGAAGTTAACTTGCTCTGAAGAATCACTGAACACGTTGTCGTCTTTTGTGGTGACAACGTGGTTGACTTTATTTGGCTCAGGCTGGGCCTGGGGCCTCGAAGAGCCAGTCACGTCGCCATTGTGGTCCAGAACTGGCAGAGAGAGGTTTTCGGTCGGGGCCATGTTGTTCTGATTGTGGACTTCGACCTGGTGCCGCCAGATGCTGAAGGAGGACTTGAAGGTGCGCATGCACTCCAGGCACGTCAGCTTCTTATACTCACACTTGCTCTCGTGCTCGTGCTTCAGCTCGGGCGAGAAAAACCTGAGGCTGCAGTAAGGGCAGACGGTGGCGTTCCGGCATAGCCGCTCGTGGCTTCCTTGCTCTAGGAGAGAAGAGAGCTTAGCATTACAGAGGCGGCACTGGTAAACCTCCTTGTTCTCTACTGGACTTGCAAGAGGAGCATGCTCTTTTGGCTTAGCAACTTTATTTACTCCAAGGGGTTTTTCTCCTGGGTGCATTTTTATGTGCTGCTTAAATTGAGAAAGAAAGCGGTATGCTTTTCCACAGTAAGTACAAATGTACGCTCCTTTGGCTCGAGACCGCAAGTTCCTCTTGATGACTTGCTGTGCTTGGGAACTACTCTGTCCCTGAAAGCCAGGCTTGCCGCGCCTTAACTTAATGATCAGGGCTTTCTTAATCTCTCTCTCTCTCACTATGTCAATCAGCTTTCTTTGGAATTTTTCATCCAAAACAGCATGGGAACTAGAGGCTGGTGACGGGTTCTTCACTATGCCGTGTTGGGTCTGACAATGTGTCCACACTTTGAAGTTGGTGTGAAACCTCTTGTGACAGATGTCACAAGCGTAGGGCTTTTCTGGGTTATGGTACATGTTAGCATGACGGTGAAGACCTGCTGTTGATCTAAAGATCTTAAGGCAATGTTTGCATTTAAATTTTTTGTTTGGTCTCGTCCCCTCCAACTCACCAAATTCGTCTTTATTCAAATCAGAATCTGGGAAATCTGCCTCGAGGACAGTGGGGCTGGAGCCTTCCTCAAGGTTGTCCTCCGACACAGGAGAGCCCTGCTCATTTGCCTTTAACTTCTTAAAGGGCAATCTTCTGTCCGCTTGGAACCTCCTTTTTGCTGGGAGTCTGCTCATGTCTTTCTGGTCTTCTGTTTTGAGAGACAGGTCTCTTGTGACTGACGGTGACGAGGCTGCCGCCGCCGCGGCGTCTCCCACAGTGACGCGGATGATGTCTGAGGGATCCGACAGCGGGCTGCTGGGCTCGGTCTTTATGCGCACCTCGGTCACAGGAGAGGCTCCCTCCCTGTCTGTCGACTGAGAAGCGCTAAAGGACCTGAGGCGACGCGGCTGTAGCACCTGAGGCCTGTCATCTAGGGCTGGTTTTTCACCACAGTCTTTTAAAGATGACTTTTGAGATAAAGCACACAACACACTCCCTGGCGCATCATTTGACACCGAAGATGATCCCTGGGAAGATTTTGGATCTATGGAGGGTGAATAGACAGGAACCTGGCTATCCATGGACAATGACCGTCTGAGGAGACTCTTAACGAGTGGGCCACTCCTGTCGATGCTTTGGTTTCCAGACCCAGCCCCACTGGATGGGATCACTAAGCCTAACTTTGAATAGTACAACAAGTTTCTATCTTCACCTTGGCCACTTCCTTTGCTAGTTTCTTTTAATAGATAGGGAGTCTCTGACGAGCTACGGAGAGACAAAACAGGTGGCTGCGGTCTTTTCAAAGCTAGCTCTATAGCTTTTCCTTTTGGAAGCTGACCACTTACACCTGGTTTATCATCCATAGTTTCTCTGTCTTGCAGAGGTTTTGAAGGCAATACTGCATTTCTTTTCACCAAGCTGCTTCTATTAGGATCATCCAAAGATCCAGAATGCTCAAGAGACTTTGCATATCCCACAGAACTATCTTTTGGCCAACTCTTTTCAGTTAATGACAAATTGTGAAGTGGCTCAATTGGTTTTGGAATATGTGGCTTAATGATATTGGCCTTGACTGCAATGCTAGGTGAGGGCCGGGAAGTATGGCTTGGATCGGGTTGATTGTGGCTAACGGTTTTTCCTTGTGCTTCGTTTCTACTTTGACAAACAATGACACTTCTCTTTTGAGAACTGTTTTCGTCATCTTCTATAAACACTTTTTTTCTATTAGGACACGTTGGAAAAGGGGCTTGTGGTGTTTTAGAAACAATGTTAGTAAGAAAGGAAATCCCAAGGCTATAGCCAAGTTCTTGCACAGCAGCAAGGCTGCTCTTCTCAACAAATAAAGAGGAAGAATAAATGTAGTTTAAAACATTATCAAAAGCATCTGGTTCACAAAAGTCAAGCTGAAATACAGTTTGTGACTCATTTTCCTTATTTGTGAATAAACCCTGGAAGTATTCGCTGCTAGCAGCCAAGACATTTTTATGAGCTCGAAACTTCTGGTCTCCGACAATGAGCAGCACGTCGCAAAGCTGTCCTTTGAGGCGCTCCTCGTTGAGGGCGCTCAGGAGGGAGATGGCATGCGCCGGGTTGATGTAATGCAGCAATCCCTCCATGGCTCGGGTTTATCTAAAAGACAGAATGTAGAATTATTATGAATAAAGTGGGGCAAAGTCCTTCCCCACACGAAGGGCTCCTTGAGGGCAGGGAACATCAGCTGTCTTTTGTTAGGTGCCAATACTGTGTGGACCACAGGCTGACAAAAGCTTTTGGATGACAAACTTATTTAAATAACAGTGAAAATGTAAAATAAGCCTCAGGGCTTAAGCAGGTCATCATATTAAAATTAAAGAATTTTAGGAACTAAAGACTATAACAGAGGCATTGGTACACTATGAAAAAGGATGCTAGAACTTGGCAGGTAGATAGGGCAAACAATATTTGAAAATAAAGGCTTATTATTTAGGGATCTTATCCATTTGATGCTTGGTTCTATTACTTACTAGTTCAGACAGTAAGTATGAATTATCAAACCCCTAAAGTCTATAATTCTGAAAGAAAATAGTTTTATTCCTGTATATACTTAAATGTAATGTGAATTGTTAACAATGGGTTGCAGAGTAGAGGTCTCATTAGAGCTGTAAAAATAGGTAGGAATTTGGAAAAAGAGAAAAATCATTTGCTAATGACTACTGAATCCAAGTGTTTAATAAAGGTTAGAAGCATTACAGAACAAAAAAGTTTGTTTTCCTTCTTAGGCCAATTACCTTGCAATCTCCTGAATACTACTTTCTCACCAAATCACATTTTCAACATGAGCACAAAAGAAACATTAGCCTGGCTCTAAACGCAATTAAGGGGTTTAAACTGAGATTTCACTGACATTCTCTTCAAATCTAAAGAGGAGACGAGGAGGCTCAGCGGCCGAGTGCATGCTCTGGCACCAGACACTTGGCTGAGCTGCTGGCTCCCCCCTTGCTAGACAAATGTCCTTGGGCATTTGTCAGCCTCTGTGTGGCAGGTGCCTCGTGTGGGATGGGAACAGCAACTGTGCCCTCTTGCAGGGTTGTTGCAAAAATTTCATCTAAAGAAAACTCAACAAATGTTATGCAATTAACTTTCAGAAATTGCAGGATTAATAGGCATTTAATTCAGTATCAAAGAAAAAGGGTCCAGATTAAACCTACCATGCTCTCGATGAAGACAAAGCCAATTCACAGAGATGACACCCGACTCTCTGTATGTGACCTGTGACCCTTCACTTAGACTTTTGTTACTTAAACACCTCATCCGTTTCATTTGATTTTATAATGCCATCTTTTCTTTAAAATGTCAGAACATTTATTTTTAACATAAAATGGATCCAAAGTAACTAAGAATATTTGTGACAGTTTTATCTTTCTCAGAGGGCAAACTGTGGATGAACCAAACTTGGCCCCAGCACATTTGCAGGTTCTCTTCTGGCCTTTGCTGTCACCCCAGCCTCCAGGCTCTTCAGAAGAGCCAGAAACTAGAGTCTCCTAGGCTGCCAACCTGGGAGTGACCAAAATGGTATACAACCTCTTTAATATTATTCCAACTCCCAGTTAAGATGCTGACTCAATTTTACCGATTCACCCCAGAAGCATGAATTTGCTTCTGGGGATGATGCCTTTAGCCTGTCCACAAACAACTACCTTGGTCGGACTGCACCGAGTTTCTGTTCATCCCCGCCTACCACCTTTCATTCTGAATGGCAAATATCCCTTCCTCTATTTGTGACTGATAGAAATATTTTTCCTTCCTTTGTCTTCCCTGTTAGCCATTTTACCTTCTCCCTTAATCCTATTACACTTTCTTTATAACCATGCATCCATCCATTTGTGTGAAGAAACCCTTACTATCTTTCACAGAGGCCTGCAGAAAAAGAACCTTACAATGCCCGATGTAGTGACTCAACTATGTACTGAGCAGTTTTAGCACTAAATTTTTGACAAAGCTAGTTCAGGTGCTGCCACAGGGAAAAGCAACAGATGCAGAATCAAAAGCACAGTCAAGTCTTTGTCAAAAGAGGTTCTTAAACTCCATTTAGAGGTTTTAAGCTAGCAATTAAAAAATAAATAAAACAAAACAACTAGGACAGAATAGAAAATGTCAGAATGCACCAAATGCAGTAAGGCCCACTAAGAGCTTGAGAAACTTTTGTTTCAGTTATATAGTCATATACATACATATCTACACATGCAGCATGTACTGGGTTGAGATGTAAAATGTATTCCTTCCTGTGGGTCAGAGCCAGGATAGTCTGAGAGCCAGAGTTCCAGGCTAACCAACCTCTCTGGGCCTCAGTTTTCCCCACTATAAAACAGGGATAATAATAGCAGCTACCACACAACGCTACTGTGAGGATTAAATAATAATAATGGCTACCATTTATTCAGCACCTACCACACTTCAGATTGCACCAGGAACTGCTCGTGCCATTCGCTCATTCTACAGAATGGCATCTGAGAAGACCCAAAGGAGGCATGGATGAGCCTGGGGGGACACTGAAGGGAAGAATGTGACTGCAGAGGCAGGAGCCGAGGAAATAGTAGGGCAGGAGCAGGGTGTGCTGGGGGCTGTGGATGATGAATCCGAGGCAATGAGAGACAGACTATCTAGGGCTTGGGGGAAGCGCTGGAAGAGCTTTACTGTGTGAAGTGAACAGCCACTGGAAGATTCTGAGCCAGGACTGACAAAGACCTGAATTATGTTTTCAAAGGACTGCTCTATGTTGTTGAGAACCAACCACAGGCAGGGCAAGGGTGGAAGCTAGGGGCCGGCTCAGAGGCCACTGCAACGGTCCAGGTGAGAGGGGACTATGGCTGGGTCCCAGGTGGCAGCAGGGGAGGTCAGACAGAGCCACCACGGTTCCTAACAGACTGCCCGTAGGGGACAGAGAAGGTGAGGAGTTAAGGATTCTGCCCAAACAACTGGAGATGCAGTTTGATAGAAAAATCAGGAGTTGAGATTTCTTTAAGGAATTCAGTTCTGATATCCTCCATGTGAGCAGCAGCCTGTTCGTTAATGTCCTTTATGAGCATCCTTCCCTGCTTTACTCTCCTGCTTCCTTTCCTCTGCTTTCTGGGCCCACTTCTCAAATAAACATTGATGTCTGAATCCTTGTCTCAGGGTGTGCTTTTGGGGGAGGCCACACTAAGAGACCACTAGAACTTGCAACCACAGGTAAAGGCTATGGAACCGGGCGAAGACTAAACCACGTGAGATGTTCTACATGTGTGGACATGAAGAAAATGGTACTCCACATACCATCTGCACCCTATTGCCAAAAAGCAACAGTTTTCTCACTTTTCTTTGTTTAGAAAAGTTTCTTTCTTTATGCTGTCTTCAAATTATCATGATCCCTGTTTCTGCTCTAAAAAAACTGTTTCCAATCTCTTGAACTATAGGCTTCTATCTTCTTTGAATGAAAATAGCTGGGAATTATGGAACAATAATAAAGTCACTCAGAGTTAAGCTATAAGAGAAATATTCACTGTCCCTAAAAATTACGTGGGGTTTCAAGCTATTCATGTGACTATTACCTCCATTCAGAGTCATCAATAAGACTGTCTGCATGGACAGTGGTGAAGGATGCCCGCATTTCTGATACGGCCCTGCAGAATAACTTCACAGTACTTATTTTCCACTCCATGCACTCAAATGCTAATTGGGTACTTAATAATAGTTAATATTTGAGTGCTTACTCTGCCACATACACAAAAGTCAACACTTTTTAATTTATTAACTCAATATTTACAGCGACCCTAGGAGATAGGTACTATTATCATCCCCATTTGATAGAGGAGAAAACTGAGGCACAGTGAGGTAAGTACCTTGCTCTTAAAGTCAAACAGATAATAAGTACCAGAGCAGGATTCAAATCAACTCGTTAAGCTCTTAGTGCCTACACCATATTGCCTCTGGTTTCCTCTTTTAATTCTCACATTCTCTCTTCTGACCTAGACACCATCATCACCCCTGTTTTACAAATTAGGGAACTGAGGCACTGAGAGGTCAAGTAATTTGCCTCAGGTCATCCAGACAGCTGGGAGTCTGGTCCCAGAGCCCAGGCTCTTAATCATCAGATCACCTGCTTCTCATGGCTGGGCATCCGTCTAGGACGTGCGAGAACTCTACCAGGCGGGAGGATATCAATCTAACTAGCATGGCCCTGCCTTACAGAGCTTAAAGTCTTACGCAGGAACAGGACAAATCAATCTGCCGCCCTGGTCCAGTATGCTAAGTAGCACAGGATGTCTGCAGAGGTGGAGATGCTGTACAGATGATGGCATCGGATCCAGGTGAGTCGGAGGCCAGCAAAGGCGTTTTATAGAGGAATCAGGGAATGCAGGGAAGAGAAGGGCGAAGGGCATGTCAAGGGACAAGAGGAACATGGGCAACATCACAGGGACAAGACAGAGTATGAGGCATGCAAGGGAACTGAAGGTGGTTTCATCTGGTTGGAGCAATGGGGGCAAGCAGGGGAGGAGAAGGCCGGGTGGACTGTGGGGGCTGAAATAGGCCCTTTGAGGATTATACGCAGCAGAGTGACATCTGCATTCTCTCTGGTACCCCAGGATCTAGAGACTCTCGTGCCTAAAGAGACAGGAGAGAGAGAGCTGGACAGTGTGGATGCCTCGCCTTCATCTTAAGGCCTTTGCTTCTACATTTTAATTATTAAACTTTAAAAACAATGGCCCCTTTCCTGGTCTAGCTGCAAATACACAATTAACATTTTGTATTTTTATGTTTTAACAATAGGAGGTATATTTATTAAGCTTAACAATTAACAATATAAAATGCCCCATTAAGAATGTGGGCAAAAA